CTAATGCTCATTTGGGTGCAGTTTATTTGTTATAACAAAAATTTTGAACTGATTTTCAAAATTTTTCTCTCCCGCGGGGAATGTCATGAGCCGACCTTCGGTACCTCGCTTATAACTTGTCTTTTGCAGCTATGCCGCAGATTTATTACTAGTGCTATTCAAAGTCACTGGTATGGCCTATACTGAGTGCCACGCTGTGCGTGGTCACTCTATTGCTTTGCTACATCGTTTGCTAGATGTTATTTATTCTCATCCTCAACTCTATATTCTCTTGGTCAAAGATTGACTAATAAATATTAAATTGGAACTAAGTATCTAAACAACTAATCTATCAATTTACTCTTACAGAACAACTAAATTTTGACTCTTTATTTCTCGGCAAATGTCAGAGGCGGATCTAGGACTTTCTCGAGGGAGAGGGTATTTAAAAAAAAAACTTGAGTACAGGGGCTGACCGCGTTCAGGGTCCGATCTAGGAGTTTCTCGAGGGGGTTTCGAAATTTTTGTTGACCTTTTTTTTAGGTTGATCTAACTGATTTCCCGAGGTCTCCCAAAGGATTAAAAAGCCCTGTTTTGGCAAACATTTTGGGCGCCGCAGGCAAATTTAAAAAAAAAAGAGGTCAAGAAAGCATTTTAGAGCCAAAAAAAGAAAAATTTTGGGGTTAGTCACTAAATATGGTTATCTTAAAATAGTACAAAGGGGCGACCCTTTGGGTCGGCAGGGGTCGAATTCCTAAGGGGGAGAGGGGCTTCTCCCCCTCCTAAATCCGCCCCTCTTTGCGTTTGTTTCTTTTATATTTTCACATTCATAATTAGGAAATCAAACCAAATATAAATAACTGCAATGAAGTTTTTTCACTGGTTTACCTTGACTTAAATAAAAACCTGTCTTTGTAACTTTTTTTAATTGCCTGATGATTGTTCTGTCGCATGTCTTTTGTTATTATGATGTAATTACTTCATTTTTTAACTGAGATCACCAAAATTTTTGTCCGTTGTTTTTATCTGTCATAAATGCAAACTCTGAGTCATAAGCGCACTGTCGGTCAATTTTTTGTTCAAATTTTAGAAGGAATAGTTTTTTAGGAAGTGATGAGCGTTGGTAGACAATTATCGATTTAAATTGATTCAACTTTTTTATACCACCTCTTTGAGGAAAAGTCGCGCTGTTTCAGATAGTTTTTTGTGGTAATAAAAATGAAAGAAAAGTCTGAACTTCCTCCTCCTGTTTCTCTTCCTATGGCTCCGACACTATCTGCCACGCCCCTTCTTTCAATGAATTCTGTTCATCAATTTCTTTCCTTACTTAGAGGCCTAAAAAGGCTTCATCTGAGGATCACAAGAGGTAATCTTCAAAATTAGTCTCCTGACAGTGAATTACCCTTGCAGTATAACATAATTGAAATCATGAAAAAGATCTGAATATCCAAAAAAATATATAAAATTAGCAAATCTTTCACAAAAACCTGAAAATTGTCTTTTTTGGGCTGTTCGTTTTCAACATTTTGCCTGCAACGCAGAAAAATAAGTCAAGATTTGAGAGCACAAGGAAAATCAATTTGGTCGACATTAAAAGGAAACCCTACCCCTCAAGAAAATCCTAGATCCGTCCCTGATATATGTGTTTAATGGAAGCTGTTTTTACATCCGCTGGTTTATATTTGACCAAAGCGTTTCCTAACACTTTATTTTGCCCTTTTGTAAGCAATTTTAACATAGCACAAAGAGGGGCCGTCAGTTTCCGTATTTTCTTGGGAAAAAAACATGTTTAAACAATCAAATCAATTCTATAATTTTATTGTGCGGGAAAAGCTCGCGACTAATTTTCGGACTTTCATAGTGGCGCCCAGTGTCATTTGGATCGGACTTAAATTGTGTATATTGTTTTTTAAAGCAACAGTCAAGTCCCTTGACACTCGCCAGCAAATTAGTTCAATATTCAAAAATTAGTCGCGACAGACTGCTTTTTCAGGAATAGTTGGAATGATAAAAGAGCTTCAAACTTTTTTGAAAAAAACTTGGAATAAACAACCTTGATTAAATTATTGTTTCATCCGTGATTTTGATTCAGGAAGTAGGCTTTTTTAGATTAAATAGCTCCAAATACAAAAAGTTTGCAAATACAGGAAGCTTAGGTTATTGAAGCCATGCTTTTCGCTACAGGCTGCAAAAATTGGTCAAATTCTGATGCTGTATTTTATTAATTTGAATTGTTTTTTGTTCACCTTTTTTGCAATTTTTCACGGTATTTTGGGATTTTCACCGCATTTTATGTTCACCAATTTTTTTGTGGTTTTTTGCAATTTTGTTGCAATTTTCACCAATTTTTTTCAAATTTCACCGCGTTTTTGGTTGAAACAGCTTCTCTACTGCCGATTTCAGAAATCTAAATATTAAAAAAAAGAAAAATTTTATAAAAAATGTGGTTCGAAAAAAATCTGTGAATAGGTTTAAATGGTTTTTTTTTGTTGTTTCGATTTTCGAAAAAAGTTTTTTGTGCTTATTGTGATGGCTTTTTTGTGCAAACTATTTTGTTTAACTTATACACTAACACTTTTGAGCAGCTCATATGCTAGTTGAACAAAATTGTTATTCCCTGAGCTGAGTATTAGAAAGACCATAAATTTATAGATTTTGAGTTTTTGTCAATTTAAACAATTGGGGAAATTAAATCCCAGTAAAATCGAGTTTTAAATTCTCATTTAAGCTTATATCAGATCAACCAATTAATCACTTCAAAAGATGCTTAGCAAAGAATTTATTCCTGTCATGATATGATCACAATTTTTTGAATTTTTTAAATGGTAGTAGGAAATTTCATTTATTGACTGTGATTCCTGGTGTAATATATTTTTTATTCCAACATAATGATAAAATTTTTGAAAAAATTGAAAACTTACTTTTTTCTAAATCAACTTCAATAGCATTTGAATTGACATACTATTCTCAAATGTTTTTCGATATATATGTGATTTTTTAAAGTGGCCACAACTTTAAAATTTTGTTTCTCTTTTTCCTGTGCACCTAAATCTCTTTTTTTTTAACAGATGGAGCTGAGATAATTCCAAACAGCTACACGTACACTTTCTAGTCAACAACCTAGTAGTTGCTACTTTAGCCACTTTTTGCGGGTTTTAATGAAACAAATTCTTAATATTCTCATTGCATTTTCATTTATGTTCATGTTTGAGCAAAAAAAATCATGGTTCCTGACTTTTATCATTCAAATAAGAGTTTTAGAACAACATGTCGAAAATTCAAATATATTCAACCGCAGTGCGGACCGTAACTAGATATAGCGAAAATTTAAAAAAGCTTCAGGACAAAAGCATTCGTAACGACGTTCAAAGTTCTGGGTGACCAGCAAAAATCACGGAAACTTTAACCAAGAAAAAACTTTATCAAGAAAAAAATTAGTGGATCTCTCTGACACACAAGTAGAGAAGTTGAATATCCGTGCTGTTTGGAAATTAAGAAAGTTGGAAATCGCTTTGAACATTTTTTTTCTAAGTAAAAAAAAAGATAGCTGAAGTTGTAGATGAACTCTACATTCTAGTTTTAATTGAAATTGTGTCCAACCGTGCGTAATTTAACATCGTTTTTTTTTCAAAAACTTTCATTAAAAATTTCAGCTTCTTAGCATTGTTATTTGAGAAATTATAGGCGTTGAAAAAAGATCTTTGCCCAATTTCCTACGGCAAAAAATCTTAAAGTAATTTTAAAAAAATATTAGAAAGCTTTACCGAAAAAAAAATCTTTCACATCTTATTAATAAGTTTTTTGAAATAAAAAAAACATAGTTTTTTTGAATTTGCGTACCTGATCTTTGAATGAAATAGTCGTTTACTATTCTTTATTGCTTATACAAAAATCACTAATTTCATTTTACTTGTACAAAGCCATCAAAAGTATCAAAACTAAACGTACAAAAAACTAGAAAACTTGGACTGGAATCAAGTTAACAACCTTCTTCCGGTAAGTAGATAAAATTAAGATTTTCCACTCTTGTTTATTTTAAATTTGGACTAAAACTTGCACATTTTTCGGATTGAAATAGCTGTAGGGTGTAAAACCGATACTGACAAGAAATGATTGCAACCGATTTTATAACGATAATATAGCAAATACATAGAAAATCTGATTTGCATCTGTCAAAAATTGATTTAGTTTGATGTAGCTAGAAAACCATTTTAATCAAATCTTAATTGCTTTAAATCAATTTTTGCCAAATTTTCTTGGTTTCATTTTGGTAACGGTTTTGCATAACAATAAAATTGATTTAAATCAATTTAAATCCACTTTGTCTCTTTTTTTTGTAATTTAATTATTACCGATTCTATACATATTACATTCAGATCTTCTCGTTTATCAAAGAACAAAAAACATGGGAGTAAACTTGAAGGATATGCTTTTCAATTGACTCTCGTATTGATGTTTAGCCTGAAAAAAAACACTGAGTATAACCAACCTGTAAAGTTTCTGCACCAAAAATGAATTGTTCTAAATTGAGTTGTTCAATTATATGTCGAATACTTAACATAATTGATCCTAGAACGTTGATAAAGAACAAGAAAATTGTAGAAGTTCTGCATAATTTTGCTTTTCGACCACGAGAGCACTAAGATTTGCAAAACTCAAAAAGGTTCCCTCAATCGCTATAAGTTGCAATAAAAAAACTCTTTTCGTTGCTTACTGAAGTTTCGATGAGAGCCGACATTAAATAAATTTTGGTGCATGTTAGATGGACTTCACTGCCTTGCAAAAAACCCAGTAAAAGATTCAAATCCAAATTTTAGGCAGTAAAATTGATGGTTTTTCTGCCGTAAAAATCTATTTTATCCAAATCGATTTATCTATCTAAATGATCTCGTAAATCAATTTTTATACAGTACTTTATGTGGAGAAAAGTTGATTTAAATCATTTCAACCTCAAGTCTGTCAGTGCGGGAACGCTTTAGGGGGATTTGGATGTTAATTTTGGTCCGAATAGTGTAACTTACTGTCAGGCATTTGAGGTATGTCCTGTGCCACTTCTGAAGATGAGAGAAGTTCCAATATGCCGCCATTGCTGCCTCCCTTTCCAGAGCTGTCCTTGTAATCCATATCCATTACAAAATCTACCCGAGGTATGATTTGAAAATTAAGTGTCTCAGTGGATTATTAGAACAATGGGCTTTTCAGGCAATGAGAATCAAATTTGAATATGAGACTGAATTTAGAAGTATAGGCGTGAAAAACGTCAGAGAAGAGCTTTTAATCAGCGTCAGGGGGATTTAATTAAGAGTTTAGCAGAGCAGAGAGAGAAAGCGCATGCTATCTAATTACTATTCAGCTGATGAACTATTTCTGTACAGTATTTATTTTTTCTGTTTATTTTATATTTTTTAAAAGAAACTGACTGAAACGAGAGCTTCTTGTTGGTAATGATTATGGATTTCGTTTTCAAAAAGGATAAACGTCTCTTTTTTTAATCAACTGATACGAGCAAGCTAAAGGGAAAACTAACTAATAGGATTTGAGCCCATAAGTGAATAGCGTGAATGGCGTAACTTAAATTCAGTTCAAGATTATTTTCGAACACGAATTTTTATTTGTTCTACCCTCATTGGCGAAAAAAACTTGAAACAAATTGCTCTAAGAAAACAGGAGGTAAAATTGATGAATACTTAATGGAAAAGTTCAATTTATTATTTGAAAACGCAAAAAGTCACAAGAAAAGTAAAATTAAAAGTACGCTTAGAAAACGAACTATTCTTTAATACAGACTTTTTATCTACTTTTCTAAACATGTTACAAAAAATAAAAGTGATAAAAGTAATGGTTTGCTTTAAGTGTTGTTTTTGGGGTCTTCTAGTATATATTCCCACTAAACGATGAAAAAAAAGAAAACAAAAAAAGTTACATTGTTGCATAGATATTATTAGGAAAGACAGGATATAGGACAGCCGAAACAAAACAATTTCATCTAAACTAGCCTCAAACTGTTCTTTTCTATTTTCTCCGGATATTTTTAACTATCCTACCCGGGTTGACAAAAAATGCTTATCTAACTATTTCATACTACTTCATACATCAAAAAAAATACTAATAAAATAGCAAGATGAGTATTTTTTTTTCATACTATGAAATATTAAAAAGCATTTTTCGCCACATTCTGGAATTTTTTCGCTACCATACTTTTTATCACAGAAATTTTATGAAAATAGCAGAAGCAATTTTTTGTACAATTTATGAAATTGTATGATAAGCCTTTTTTCCATAGACGCCATATATGAAATTGTATGATAAGGGTTTTCCTTCTATGGACGTCAACCCGGGCTCTTTTGGTCCTTGTTAACTATCCCCCCTATGCATTTATTATTTTTTGCTCAATAAATTTGCTATTTTTTCGTTTTTTGGAAAAAATTGACGTTTGTGCTCGGCAAATATTTCAACAGTGACAACAGCTTTTGCACTGACCAAAGTTCTTTTCTTGATTTTTTCTACAAAATAGATATAATTTTTTTGTACATGAGTTCTTTGTCACAAAGAAAACTTTTGACAATTTCATTTCTTTCCTTTCATTTTCTTTCATTTCTTACCAAATGTTTGTTATGGACTTTTACACATTTACGGCATCTGAAAGACAATTCTACCCAAAAATGAAATTCATTTTTTGATTTTTTAAAAGTGCAGCTGCGGAAGCGTTCAACTGACCAATTGGAATAGTTGGTAGTTTAAAAGCTAATTTAAGGGTAATTTAAGTGCCTCGACCTTGCAAATTTTCAAATAATGCCTCGCGTAAGCATTATTTCAACTAAGTTGAGGCCATTTAACTGATTCAAATGTAGCGTTTATAGACGTACCGTTTATTATTTATACCCGACTTTGCATGTGACACGAAAATTTTTGGCAAAATTTTGGCAAATGAAAAAACTCATGTCTACTCCTTTGTTAATCAAGTCAAAATTTTTGACGATTTATTACAAACTAGAATTTCGCAAATTTTATTTATTTGGGACATTGAAAAAAAAACAAGGATTTCTTAGAATGGACACAATTTTTTGTTTCAACTTTTTCAGATAACTATTTATGCGCTCTAGCATTTATTTAAAATTGTGCAACTGGTAAAACACAAAGGAATAGGTGAATGTTTAGTTTTTGAAACTTGCCTTGCTCAAAATTATTCTCTCTATCAACCATAAACTTTTCTCTGTGAAATTTTGGTGCAAGTTTTTACGTTTTCCTAAGGGAGCAAAAACTTACATACAAAACGTTTTTAAGTTAAGTAGGGCTGCTTGTATATCAGTGAGAAGCCCTGATTTTTCCTGTTGCTTTTTTATTGGCAGAATTTTTGTTTATGGTCACGAAAAAAAACAAGTTTCAGCAATTACAAATAATAAGTGTGAGGACTGAATAGTAAAAAAAATTATACTGATTAATTTGTCTTATTTTAGTTTGAAAAGTCTTTGTAGTGTGAGATAACCTGCATCGTTTAAAAAGTTCGCCTTTCGCTTTCAGCATCACAATCAACACAACGCGCCTGAATTAGTCCCGAGTTTTATTGTAAGAGTAATAAATAAAAAATTTTACTGAATGCCTCGATTGCACTTTTCTGTAAATAAAAAGCTTAAAAAACCAAAAAATGCAAAAACAAGATTATCAGAGGAAAAATTTTTTTAAAAAGGGACCAAATTTTAGCAATGATCAACGTCTTTTTCTCGTTATTTTAATGTACAATTTAAATTTTTATGTTGCTCATGCCTTCTTCAAAATAACCAAAACTTTTGGCAAATGCATTTTTTTACCTAGTTGTTTTGCAGTTTCAAACACTTCCGGCATCTGAAAGCAGTTTTTGCCCTGAAATTGAAACTAAAATCTTTGAAAATTTTTTGAAGCGTTCAGTTGACACATTGAATTAAAAATGGATAATTATTTGTACTCGACTTTGCATGTGACATTGAAATTTCCTAGCAAATTTTTTGCGAATTATAATAACTCATATTTAATCTCTCGCTATTTTTATAATTTTTTTGTTTTTGAACTGGAGTTTTGAAAAATTATTTTTTGTTTGGCATTGAAAAAAAATGATTTTTTTTAGAATTGATAAAATTTTTCGTTGTAATTTTCGCCGATGATTTTTTATGCGCTCTACTTTTTGCTTAAAGTTATAACCCTGGTACGAAAAACATATTAACATAAAATAAGGGATTGTATAACATGTGTTGTCTGACTTCCTGCAAAAATAATCTCAATGATCATCAACATACATACTTTACCGTGAAACTTCGGTGCAAATCTATAACTTTTAACTAGGGAGCAACAACTTACACACAAAAAGTTTTTAAGTTAAGCAACGCTGCTTTTATATCAATACAAAACCCTGAATGTTCCTGTTGCCCTTTTTTTAATATCGAAAAGTTGTTAGGCACTAATAATTAAGCACTAACAATTAAGTTTTTAAGCGCAATAGTTATAAAAAGGTTCTTTCGCTAGAGATTTTAATTTAGAAAAAAAAGATGTCTCTTATCAACACTCACATATTTTTTTTAAAAAGTGAAAATGAGAGTGCTTTGATATCTGAGATCGATTGGTGCTTAACAAAAAAACTGAAAATACGTTTAATATAAAATCTTAATTATCTCAAATCGAATAAATTGAACAAAACTTTGAAAGGTCTAAACTTCCTAAAAAACAATCACAGTTCAAAAACTGGTACAAAAGTCTCGGTCAAATGGTCCCCGTAACTCCAACTTGGCGAGTCAGAGTTCACTCATTATAACCCCAAGATTTTACGCTGATAGAAATTTTACACATAGAAGAAAAGATAATACTTTTAAAAAGAAAAAAGTTCTTGGGCTCAACTTTTCTCCAGAGGAAACGAAACTTTGACAAAGCTTAAAACTTGAACAAAAAAACTTGCAGCAACTCAAATTGAAGTGATTTTTGAAATATAATAATTCGCTCCACACCAATTAATAAGTTGGGTCCTTCGCATATTATTTAACTAATGTAGCCACGCGCTCCAAAAATCCAAAAAAGGCCAGTAACTAATGATTCAAAACTAAGTTGAAATCAAAACTAAGAAGATTACTCGAATCGGATCAAAATCCTGAAAGCTCAATTTTGCCACGCTCTACAAAAGTCCAAAAGTCAAAATTCGAAATCAAAAATAGGAGGGTTGGTAGTATCATGGAAAAATCTTGAAAAGTCGATTTAACCTTTTAGAAGGAGTCAATCATTTTTTAGAAAGTTGAAAATTGTTAAATGGAAAACCTGAAAAACACTTGATATTGTTTTATCTTCTTCCGGCAAACTATGAAAACTCCAAAAGCATGTTTATAGCCTCCAGCAATGTATTTAAATAGCCCACTTCAAAATTAAGTTGAGAAGTTTCTGAAACGGTTTCAATCGCGCTATATATGACGCGTAAACCGTTTCAGGACATTTCTGTCCCAAACTTTTACGTCCTGGCAAAACAGTCAGAAAAGCAAAAATTGTCCGAGACATTTGGTTCCCAGACAACATTATTTCAAAATTGTCTAAAATTTGCCATACTTGTTACGGACCGGAATTTTTTGATCAGCTCTCATGAGGCAGGATTAAATCGGTAAGGGGACGCAACTGAGTAATTAGACCAAAATTAATTTTGAGCAGCATGTTAGAGACAAACATAGCACAGGACTCAAAACTTTTTTACATAGCTACACAAATAATGCTTCATTGATATTTTGACAATTGTCGACACGAGAGGTTATTATATCAATTTTATAGCCCTCGATTTTGTGTTAACAATGGAAATCCTTAGTACATAAAAAAACAACGAACTGCTATTTCATGATGCCTACTCATATTTCAAACATCAAAATTTAACAGACACCTCAATTTGATGGCGATGTGTTTCATCTAAATACAGTGGCCCTGTGCGCACTTTCCAAGAGAACGTCACTATCATAATGATCTCAGTCATTTTCCGGATCCAGCCGAACATAAAACGAAAATTCAGAAACGTTTTTAAAACAAGAGCAGCAGTTGCAGATGATCCGCCACGTCAAACAATTCTTTCCATCCAAAATGACATCAACAAAGAGACTGCATCAGTAATCCCGAGCTATTGGTCCAACCAGAGGACCGTTATCAGAGCAAAACAGGCAAGACGGTCCAGAATGCAGGAACCAAAATCCTTAACTGGTTTTGAACCGCCAGAGTTGCTGAAAGAGATCCACAGTGGCGAGCGATTCTTTTTAAATCTGGACCTAACGATACGAAGCAAACAATGGTTTTGATCATTCTTCCAGGACTCGATCGTCTAAGTGGCGCTGTTGATTGGTTCTGCATTGGCACCTTTTCCACAGCCCTAGCATGTTCTTTTAGATATACACCACCCACACATCAGTCGAGATATTTCTGATTCCTTTTGTGCATGCACTGTTTCCAGACAAAGACGGAGAAACTTTTATTCGCCTTTTGAGCTTGTTCGACATACAATTT